AGACCTGGCCGGCGCACGGCACCGGGCCGGGGATCCAGCGGGACTTGCCAGCCAGATCTGGCCGGCGTCCGACGCCGGGGATCCAGCGGGACTTGCCAGCCAGATCTGGCCGGCGCACGGCACCGGGCCGGGGATCCAGCGGGACTTGCCAGCCAGACCTGGCCGGCGCACGGCACCGGGCCGGGGATCCAGCGGGACTTGCCAGCCAGATCTGGCCGGCGTCCGACGTCGGGGATCCAGCGGGACTTGCCAGCCAGACCTGGCCGGCGCACGGCACCGGGCCGGGGATCCAGCGGAACTTGCCAGCCAGACCTGGCCGGCGCACGGCACCGGGCCGGGGATCCAGCGGAACTTGCCAGCCAGACCTGGCCGGCGCACGGCACCGGGCCGGGGATCCAGGGAGACTTGCCAGTCAGACCTGGCCGGCGTCCGACGCCGGAGATCCAGCGGGACTTGCCAGCCAGACCTGGCCGGCGTCTGACGCCGGGGATCCAGCGGAACTTGCCAGTCAGACCTGGCCGGCGTACGGCACCGGGCCGGGGATCCGGCGGGACTTGCCAGCCAGACCTGGCCGGCGGTCGGCGCCGGGAGCCCAGGCGGGACTTGTGAGCCAGACCTGGCCGGTGTGCGGCACCGGGCCAGGGATCCGGCGGGACTTGCCAGCCAGACCTGGCCGGCGGTCGGCGCCGCCGGTGTTAGTTCTGGAATGATAAGCGTTCCTTAATGGCACAGTATGCAGACTTTTCACCTATCTGTGGATGGCTGGCAGGCCGTGGGCCGCATGAAGGTCGTTTCCCGTCCCGCTGGACTTTGCCGGATCTTTTATGCAATACCGGCAATCGTTGCCCATTCTCCACCATGCGTTATCGGCCACGGGAACACATTGTGCTCATCGAGCGGGTCACACGTGTGTTGCCACGCAACGCTACATTGGCGTGCTGAGGTCACCAGCCATTCACTAATACACAGGCAACGATCGCAGGCGCACGCGACCCGAGGATGTCATGTATTGCCACTGTCACGCGCGCGCCCACGTCCCCCAATCTGGGCTCATGTGTGCCTATCACGGTCTATTCACATCAATTATGGCCAGTGGCGCGACCGCAGGTCTGTCGAGCCCCGGTCAGATCAGAGGGCGTGGTCAGGTCCCGACCGAGCGCTGCAGCACGGCCGCGGGCCCCGGCTGGGCTCAGGCTCCACAGCATGGGATTGGAGCCGAAGGACACGAGCTCGCCCGCTGACTCTCAGTACGCCACCCCGCTGGCACGGGACGACGCTGCGGTCCGCAGCTGAGCCGCCGCCATTCCCAAACGGCGCGATCTGGTGTCTGCCCCGCGGGCACGTCCTACAGTCGGACACTGCAGCGGGGAGCGAGGAGCTCGTACCGTCCTCCGACGCTCTCCGTCCCCGCCTGTACGTCTGTCCGCCCCCTCTCTGGCCTCAAACCGGCTCCGACCCTGACTGTGTGGACACGAGCAGCTGCTTGTTTGGGTCGGAACGGCGCGGTGGGGCTGCCGCGTGCTCGGCCGCCTCCGACGCCGCTGCAGCCTGCAGGCCGCCCGGGCCGGCGCCCCCCACCTGGGCGGCCGGCCGCCGCTGGACACGTGCTCGGCTCGCGTGCCGCCGCGCCGGGCGCCGCCGGCGGACACGGGGTGCACACCTGCTGCCGGCTTGTGATGATGGTAATTTACATGTCGGGAGACGTTGTCCGGAGGGGACTCTGCACTCTCGCGCCATGCACGGCTGTCAAAAGTTTCGGCATTAGGGAGGTGCTGGGTGCGTCTTGACGCCTGCGAGCATGCCGTGAGAGCTGGCCAACTGAGAGCATTGGCCATTGAGAGCTGGCACAAATGTCTTTCTTGGCTGCGATCGAAACTGACAGTTACGAGCATGTAGAATCGGATATTTGCCTTGGAGGGGAGGGGACTGGATCCGTCCTGGGGACCCCGGGCTCCCGCGGCGTGTTCCGGTCCCGCCCGCTGCAGCGTTGTGCACAGCGTAGGTGTCGCTGCTGCGTGCGCTGAGCTGTCTATCTCGTCAAGGCAACCCTGCTCAGCACTCAGTGGCCCGGGAGGGCCCGCCCGCCGCTTCAGGTCCGGCCGTGAGGGCATGCGGGCGACCGATGGGACGCCGTTGACATGCGGGCTCGCCGACGCTCCTCACTGGCCACGCTCGGGCCTATTCTCCCTCCCCTGTTGTCGCCGCTGTTGTTGAATCTAGTGAAATGCGCTCCCCAGTTCCATTGGTCTGCTCCGTTTCCGGCTCGCCGGCCGGCTGCGTCGGCGGAGCTTTCCGGGTCGACACGCACTGTCCGATCCGCCGCGGTATCGTCGCCGCACAATATTCATCGCGTCCGACAGCTGGTCGCGGTCGACAAACGACTTAATTGAGGGTTGCCGGCCACTCCGGCGCCGGTAATGGAGTCCAGCTGGTGCCGCCGCCGTCAAATCGCCAGCGCTCGGCAGCCGGCGCCGGCCGCCGAGCGCGGATCCACGGCACGGGGCCTCAGCGACGGAGGTGCGCCGGCGGACGGACCCCCTCCCGCGGCTCCACGACACAGGGGTCTCAGCGACGGGGGCGCGCCGGCGGACCGGCCCCCTCCCGCCAGCCACCATCTCACGGCGCCGCCGCGCAACACCTCCGCGGCCACTGCTGCCGCGCTGGTCCGCGGCAGGGGCGAGGACCCCCTCCCGCCAGCCGCTACCTCACGGCACCGCCGCGCGGCAGTACCTCCGCGGCCACTGCTGCCGCGCTGGTCCGCGCCAGGGCGTCCGCTGTCCACAGTCTGGATGGATGGAAGGTGTGAGCTTGTGGTCTGTGGCCGTTAATAGCGCGGGGTTCGCGGCGCCCGGAAACCCAAATGGTCGTCATTTGAGCTTGCCCTTTTGACCTGCTGTCAGCTCGTTTGCTGTGAACGCTTTATGTGTATAACTTGCGGGTGGGCCCGGTACACGATCGTGCCGAGCTGCATACAGCCGGGGACAGCTGCTGATGTACGGATTCTGCAGTGTCGCGCTCGTGGGTTAGGATTGGGAGTCCGCTGCTCGCAATGTGGATAGAGCGTCAGCACAGCTGTTTCCTTCCGGTTGTGGGATGACAGTCAGAGACCCGCCGTCCTCAAGTCGCTGGCGGCGACGCGTGAGTCAGAGACAGTGACCCGTCGTCCTCACGTCTCCGGCGACGGTGTGAGCTGAAGACCTGCCGTCCTCACCTCTCTGGAGGTGATGTGTGAGTCAGAGACTCGCCGTCCTCACGTCTCCGGAAGCGGTACGTGAGTCAAAGACCCGCCGTCCTCACGTGTCTGGCGGCGATGTGTGAGTCAGAGACCCGTCGTTCCGATGCTTTGGCGGCGGACGTGCGAGTCCTGCCTCTCTCCTATGGTTTATGATACACAGGTCGGCGGGCGGCACGTGCCGTCGCCGGTGTGGGACGTGGGAGCGGCGCCGCTCGGTTGTGAGGTGTGAGCTGACGCGGCAGTTTCCTGTCCGTGTCGCCCGCTCCATTGTCCGTCAGTCACGGCCGGCGCCGCGGCCGAGCGCGCCGGCCGTGGCGCCGCTCGGCTGTGTAGCGGTACCTGTCTGGGGCGGAGGGCCCGCGCGTCCCGCCCGCCGACTCTTTCGCCGGGCGAGCGGCCCGGAGGCCGGTCACCTGTCGCCGGCCACATCTCGAGCCGGCCGGCGCCGGTGCGCGCGCGCTGAAAAACTGCCCGACCTTGTCGGTGCGTGCCCAGCGCCGCTCCAGCCAGCGGGCGCACCGCTAACCTCAGCTGGGTTGGGCGGTGCGCGGCGGTCGGCCCGCGAGCCCCCCTCCCCCGCGGCGACACCTGCCGCGGTAAGCCAGGTGGGGACCCGCGGCGAGCCGTCACCCGTCGGCGCCCGCGCCCGATGTAATCGCGGCGTCCGATTGTCCCCGAATAGCCGGCCGTAGGCTAATTAGCCCGGCCGGACATTGTCTTGCGCCGGCCGGCGCTCGCCCGCGGAAGTGGCCGGGCCGTCTTACCTGGCCGGGGGACGGCGTGGCGCGGGCGGGGGGGGGGGGAGGGACGGCGACCGTTGGCCGGTTTGAAAGGCGTCCGCGGCCCGCGGCGGTGTCCGGCGGCGGTGGCGGCGGCGGCCAGGACCGGCGGCTGATGGTCAACGCTGGTCAGCGCGGCTGGACGCCAGCGCACCGCCGGCGCCTCGGGTGTCGGGCGCGGGCGGATCGCACGGTATTCCGCCAGCCGACGGGGGAGGACAGAACGTTCAGAGTGTCGGCATGCACCTGTCAGGACCGGGGATCCTGGCTTGTCCTCAGTTGCCTGGGTCTGGGTTGGGTTGAGTGGCCAGGGTCCTGTGCTGTCCTCGGTTGCCTGGGCCTGGGTTAGGTTGGGTTGGCTACGTGTCCTGTGTTGCCGTGATCTGGGCTAGCCACGGGCGCTGGGTTGCCGTGACCTAGGCTGGCCACGGTTCTTGGGTCGCCGTGACCTGGTCTGGTCACGGGTCCTGGGTTGCCGGGCCTGGGATGTGCTCGGGTCGCTGGCCGATGCGGCTGGTGGCTGTGGTGCCGGACCACAACTCCGAGACGAGACTCCGAGAGAGCGAGGATGACCGGGACAGCAGCCCAGTGTGCGGCCCATTGCCGGCCGCGACCAGTTTTTGTGACGCTCAAGTTCAAGGCCGGCTCGGTCGCTGTGCCTAAGGCCGCTGGCCGGCGCGTGGCGGGGGGGACGGCGGCGGTGGCGGAGCGGCGCTCGGCCGACCGACCGTTCGCTGTCGCTGCGCAGCGGCCCGGCGACGGCGCGGCGGCCGGCCGGCGAGTGCGCAGTGTGCCGGCGGTGGCGGTGCGGCGCGGGCGGTGCGGGCGCCGCTGCCTGTGACGACCCGCGAGTGCGGCCGCCGTTCGGCGCCTGCTGGCAGTGACTGGCGGCACCGTAGCCGACAACGCCGCCGGCCACGTTGTCGGCTCGTCAGTGACGTGACGCGAGCTGCGGGGGCGAACGCCGGGGAGTGCACGCGTAGCCAGCGCCGCCCGGCCGCGGATGTAGCCCGCGGTCGCGCCGGAGCGAGCGCCTGCGAGCGTGTGCGCAAGACGACCGTGCGCCTCGGCGGGGTCGGAGTCGCGCGCCGGGATGCGGCTGAGGATCCCGTCTCTGGCGCCCGTGCAGGAGGAGGTGGCGCGCACGGTACGTACGGACCTGCCGAGGGGCCGGCTCCCCCGGCGCTGCTCGATGGCCGAGCACAGCTGCCAGCCGCAGGTGGCTGGTTGGATGTCACGTGACTGACCAGCGCTGTCAGCAGGTGACTGGTTGGATGTCACGTGACTGACCAGCGCTGACCGCGGAACCCCACTCGCCGCCCCGGGGTAGAAGCTCTAGTCCGGGAGCTGGCTCACTTATGTCATCTCACCGCCCGGGGTAGAAGCTCTAGTTTAGGCGCCGGCTCACTCATGTCATCTCACCGCCCGGGGTAGAAGCTCTAGTTTAGGCGCCGACTCACTCATGTCATCTCACCGCCCGGGGTAGAAGCTCTAGTTTAGGCGCCGACTCACTCATGTCATCTCACCGCCCGGGGTAGAAGCTCTAGTTTAGGCGCCGACTCACTCATGTCATCTCACCGTCCGGGGTAGAAGCTCTAGTCCGGGCGCTGGTTCACTCGTGTCATCTCACCCCCGGGGTAGAAGCTCTAGTCTAGGCGCCGGCTCACTCGTGTCATCTCACTGCCCGGGGTAGAAGCTCTAGTCTAGGCGCCGGCTCACTCATGTCATCTCACCGCCCGGGGTAGAAGCTCTAGTCCGGGCGCCGGTTCACTCATGTCATCTCACCGCCCGGGATAGTAGCTCTAGTCCGGGCCCCGGCTCGCTCATGTCATCTGGGCTGTCCGGGGTAGAAGCTCTGGCCCAGGCGCCGGCTCACTCGTGTCATCTCACCGCCCGCGGTAGAAGCTCTGGTCTGCGGGCTGGCTCACTCAAGGCATCTGGGACACTGATTTATACAGGAGTCTGCGCCGCTTTCTTAACCTTGACCTGGCCGCGCGGTGCACCTGTTCTCGTATGCATTGAAGGCTGAATTGGCGCTCAGGAATTTCCACAGCCAAAGTTAGTGTTTGTTGCTGTAAGGGGCCGATGGGGACGGATCGGAGCTGTTTTGGCGGGGTTCCGCGACTCCGTGGGAACATGCCCGCCCGATGGCGGGCGCGGGACGGGCCCCGAGGCTGCGGTACTCTGCGGCGGCGTGACCGCTTGACCCGGTCGTGGTGGGGTCGCCCCGCTGACGAGGCGGTCGGGTCAGGGCCAGACGGCTCGTCGCAGGTCTCCTGCGGCCAGCCGCCCAGCGCCGGAGGCGGCGGAGGCTAATGTGCGGCTCAACCCACAGATGGGGCCGCTCGGGCATTGGGTCACGGTCGACGCAACGAGACATGCGTAGTGCGGGTCCTGTGGGGCTTCTGTGGGGCTCGGACGTCGTTGTGCGAGACTCCGCGGTCCGCTGGCGCCTGGCGGAGCCGAGATCGTCTTCTCTGGTCGACTAGAACTAAATCCCCGGTAGATATGCAGAGCCGCACTCTTCAAACATTCGGAATAGTTAGAGGAGAAGAGACAGTTCGCCAATCGACGAGATGATGGGTTTGGAGCGCGCCTCTGGGATCCGCATCGGTTCGGTCTGTTTGACGAACCATATGAGATGCAAACAACCGCTGGCAGCCTTGCCTATATGGGATGCAAACAACCACTGGCAGCGCGGCTGCCGCCGCGGTCCGCTGAGCGCTCGCCGTGTTAGAACCTGTAGCGCCCAGCCGTTCCAAATGCCGTGCCCGGGTCCCCGGGAGCGTGATCCACCCGGCTAGTCATGCAGCCGAGCGGTAGCCGGATGTGCGGCCGTCCCGAGCGGAGCGGCTCGGCCAGAGTCCAGCTCCGGCGGGGTCCTAACAGCTCGCGCCGGGTACCGATCCGGCGCCGGTGGCGACGCGGACTCCGGTGTCTGCCGAGGCCGGCCGCGCTGCCGCGGGTAACAGCCGCGGGCTCTGGTCCTCATGGGAGGCCAGCGCGCGGTTGAGTGCCGGTGCCGTCCGGCGGGTCCGGCAGATGCGTGGTGCTGTACGGTCGTCAGCCCGCGTCCGGTGTCGCTGCAGCCGCGCTTGTACTGGTCCGGTGTTTTGGGGCTTCGGTGCGACGTGTCCCAGGGTCCGATCTGTGGCATCAGCTCAGTTCCATCAGCATGTGTTTAGGCTCAGCCCAGCGGCGTCCTGCGCCTGAAGTTTGGCTTCGTTATCATCCCAGCGATGTCGGTCGTGTGGTCTGCATGTCGGCGACTGAGGCGTGTCCTCTGCACTTACGACGGTGATCCGGCTACGCCTCTGTCGGCTCGAGGCGGCAGACTGCGCCTGATCTCGACGCAGTCGCGCTGTGTCGGCGGTGTGCCTGTGCCGACCAGTCTTACCCCGTGTCTAACCAGTCTGTCTCGATGTCTGCCCAGGCGTGCTCTGCGCGGGCTCAGCCTCGCCCCGCGTCGACAGCGAGCGTCTGATGTCGGCCCACTCTCGCTCACTTCCAGCACCGTGCGCCCATTGATGGCGGCCGCGCGCTCGCCACATTCCTCGGGGCCTGCCGGGTGGGCGCAGTTTCTCCACCGGCCAGGCCAGGGTCACCGCGCCGCGCCGCGCCGCGCCGCGCCGGGACTCGCCGCCGCCGCCGCCGCCGGTCGCCGGCCGGCTTTCACGCGCCTCTCTCTCCGGCGGTGATCGCCCGCACCGCGCTCACAGTCTCGCGCGGCGCGGCCCGCCCGCGACCCGTGACCTCTGACCCGGCGAGTGGCCGCACCGCCCGCTGCGGTTGCGTAAGGTGCACGCTGCGTGAGAAGGGCGACCGGACGGCGGCCGCGCCCGCCCCGTCCGCCGGCTCACGCTTCCGCCGGCGCGCCGTTGTTCGCCGCACCGGTCGCGGCCGGTGGGAGGCGACGGCGAAGGGCCGGCGGCGGTGCCGGGTCGGTCCGGTCCAGGGTAGTAGAGCACTGTCCGGTCAGGCGGGCGGTGACGTGCGGACGCAGAGGTGTCCGGCTATGGCAGGTGATGACGAATGGGTGTTAGGGGCCTGGACGGGGAGTCTCGCATGGGGCCTGAGATGAGATGACGGAATGTTTTACGACCAGAATCCAGCTCGTAGCACCTGCGAGTTGGATGGCGTGTCCTTGTTCGCAGGCTTCCAGTGGAGGACACGATTGTTGCGGGGTGTCCGATGTTGACAGGGATAGGGCTGCTCGATAAATGTTGATGCAGGATGTGCACAGCGTGCTTACGCGAGGCGATGTTTGGGCTGGGCTACTGGCAAGGCGTGACTTATCGTTGACAGCGAGGCTTTGTAAACTCAGGGATGTATCCATTCTGGATTACATCGATCAGCATGTCATAAGAGAACGGGGGATCTTTTCTGTTCGTCCGTGATCGTCTGCCGCAGTGCCGCCGTCAACAGCGGGTCGCGCTAGTTTGGCGCGCTCGTTTCAGCAGGTGCGCCCGGCAGCGGCGGGCGCACTTACAGTGCGATCGACCTCCGACCCGCGGCCGGACGCCGGTGTGGCCCCGGCGCCACCTGCGCCGCCGTCTCGCCACCCCGCCGTCGCGCACCGTTAAACGGTCTGGGAGCGGTGCCGGCGGTGGCCGGCCGCGGCGCTCCCCGCGGCCCCGGGACGCGCCCGGGTCGGCTGACCTGCTGACACGCGGCCGGACGGCGCAGGCTGCGGTCGGTGGCCGTCGGTCACGTGACCCGGCGGTGTCCCCGGGTCAGCGGCGTCTCTGGCCAGATGGGCGCCGGTCGGCCGAGCCGCGGTGTGCGGGCGACCCGCGGCGAGCCCAGCGTGACCCGTGTCGAGGGCAGCTCGGCTGGGAGCGGGCAGCACATGCTAGTGTGACGCCGTTGGGGCTCGGGACGTCCGGATGTTACGGTCCAGGCCAGCTGCGCCCTGCTGGGACGCCTCAGAAAAATGGAGCGTCTGTTGAATGTGTGTTGGTACCGATGTAGCCGATCTTCCGGTCACGTATCGTACCTCGGCTCTGGGGCGAAGACTGCAGACCTTGGTGTTCATTCCGATGCTGCCCGTCGCCACTGCGGTTCGTCGAGTTCGAAAGTTCGGCGAAGGGGGTCCGTCGAGACGAAAGGACCGCTCGAGATGGCTGGGTACGGTGTATATTTTGAAAGCTTTTAGAGCAGTAAGCGTAAGATTAGTGCCGGTTCTCCACGACGTGTGATTCATTGCAACCGATGTTGATGTTTATGTGATATGCTTATGCCATCCCATCACGGAACGAGAACTCTCGTGAGGACGGTATCGCCGAGGAAGGTAGAGATTAAGACTCGTCTCATCAACCCGGCGCCACGTATTTGCTGCAAACGCATCCGTGCGAGTGGATCTGAATGTAGCGCACATGATTGTGCGCATGAAGCAAACGAAATGCACTCACGCGGCGGTTTTGCACGGTATATCCGGTGCGATGTCCTCGAACACCGGTTGAGGAGAGCATTGTCAGCAGCGCACGATCACGGTTATGAGCGCGCTGCACAGATGGGCATGACTTCATTCAGAACAGCAGCCGCCGCCCAATGAACCCCGCCCACGGAAGCGCCGGCCATTTAGCAGACGGCGGGCTGGGCCCAATTCGTGCAAACTGCAGCTACCGGCCCCTTTGTGCGCTGGGCAATAAACTGGCTTTTATCGGCTGTTGCGAACTGGGAACGAGGTGTCGCATCAATGCACGATAGCTGCGCTACATTCACCAGGCACACACGCCGCGTTATGAGAACCGCCGGCTTTGAGGGCAGCGATTTGTTCTCGCTGCTCTGATCATGATTCATCCCCTGAGATTATGTTGTCTGGCAGATATCGAGCAATCACGGGACTTTACAACCCCTTTCGTCTGCCGCCACGACCCATACAATTTTACGGCGGCGGTTGGAGGCGCGTGATGCCTTCCCCCCCCCCCCCCGTCCCCTTCCCTGTGGTCCCCTGCTGGCCTTAAACCTGCGGTTGGTCTGCGCCACCCAGGCGGCCACCGACAATGCTGCTGACTTCTGAGCGGTCCCCCGTGCGTGTCGAGAACACGCCCTCGGCGCGGTGCGGGCGGATGGTCGGCCTCTGGACGCCGGTCGAGGCAGAGCCGCTCCGGGGGCGGGGACGACTCTGAGCCCGCGGCTGTTCGACTCCCCGGCACCAGAGTGTGCACGTGACGGCGGTGCGGGAGAGGTGGGGGCGATTCCACACGTAAGAGGCAAGTTGGTGACCCTTGACGAGACAACGGGCGGCTTTCTTTGATAGGGTGATAATCGCTGCAGTTGCATTGTAACGGCGTGTTGCTGCAGTAATCCTGATGCTTAAGAGTCATCAACAGCTGGTGCAAAGCTATGAGATAGCGTCTGATCTGATCTGTGCCCAGTGATGACCACTTGATATGCGGTGGTGTGTCACGTTGTTCTCTGCGACCTGGCGTGGCCTCACCCGTTCCGCTGGCGCCGCCCTGAGGTCAACTCAGAAGTGCGGTGTCTGACTTGACCTGACCTGACCGCCCCCCGTCGCCAGGTGCCGCCGTCGGGTCGGCGCTGTCACGTGGTGCTGCCAGACCAGCGCCGGTTCGAGGTCTCCGTCCAGCTGCGGTGTCTGACCTGACCTGACCTGACCCCGCCCCCCGCCACCAGGTGCCGCCGTCGGGTCGGCGCTGTCACGTGGTGCTGCCGGACGAGCGCCGTTTCGAGGTCTCCGTCCAGCTGCGGCTGCTGACCTCCGAGCTGGCCGACATCGTCGCCTCTCACTGCTCGCTTAAGGAGCGCAAGTACTTCGGCGTCGCCTATCGTGGAGATACGTGAGTACCGACCTCGGTCTTCTTCAGCAGGTCTCGTAACTCGTGCGGCTCGGCGCCACCGAGCGCTTGTTCAGCTGTTTATCTTCAATCGACACATTTTCTGAACCGAAGCGCTGGCGGCGCTCTCCCAATGACGTCATATCTCCCTGTGGTCTCGGCCCGCTGCGTCTGCTGACATGGCGCTCAGCTGTCAAACAGTTGGTGCCTTTTCTACAGCGCTCTTAACGCGAGACAAATATTTTTACCAGAAGGGCGCTGAAGCGATAGCCGTCGGTCTGCTACTGATCGCTGCGTCAGCTGAAACGAGAGGCTCTGATCGCGGTGCAAGATTGGCTTTACGTCAATCAAAAGTCCGAGAGAAATGAGATGACAGAGTTCACTGGTGATCCGAACTTTTATTGAGTTTGGCGTCGATCAAAAGTCCGTGAGAATTGGGATGGCACGTTTCACTGAGATGCGAAGTTGTATGGGGATCAACTATGTCCTGAAAAATTCTCGAGCTGTTTGGCGTTGTAAATTTGTCTTTATCTCCTCAGCATCTAATGAAACAGCATGGATGAATAGATATTTGCTGATATGAAATAGTTGGGCGCGGTCAAAATTAGTTTTAAGCTGATTTATTCGAGAATGAGCCCAGCATTCTGATTAACGACTAAATCACTCCAAACCCCCTATCCCGTCAATAAGAAATCACGAAAGCTCGAGGCATCAGCACGCTTGTGCCCTGTTTTCCGTCGTAAAAGCACCGCTGAAATGAAAGCACTGACAACAGTTGCTACTCCCTCCAGCTGGGCCAATGTCGGGAAAAAACGTTTGCAGAAGTAATATGATGGAAAGGGAAAGGCGCCGATTTGGTCTGGAGGGGATGGCTCAAGTTAGATTAAAGATTCGTGCTTTCCATAGACCTCTTTAGCATTGCAGTGGCGTACAACTCCTTGTTCGCCCCATCCCAAGTCAGACCCCATTCCCACAAAGCGTGTAAAATGGTGAAAACCTGGCGATAAAGGTAATGAGGGTGGGATGATCATCAAATCAGCTTTATTTTCGATTTCCTTGTACCCTAGCAAAGGTTGGCAGCTTTTATAGGACCACCTCTGCGATCCTCACTTAAGAATGAAACGAACCCTCCGCTTGCGGAAATTCTCATTTCCTTGATTAGCTAGCGCAAAATGGGAGTTAGATTTTTCATTTTCTTTTCGGTACGGGGCACGGAGACTGGATGCTGGTAGGTTGGGAGGTGCCATTGGCGGCACAGACGGCGGAGGAGCCGCGCCGCGTCTACCGCACGCGCGGCGGACGCGCGCGTTGTGCGGCCCGTGACCTGGTTTGCGTTCACCGCGGCACTGCACGCGAGGCGTGCGCTCGGCCGTGCCGGGAATAATAACCCGCAGCTGAAGATCTTCACAGCAGTGTACAACCGGTGCCTTTCACACGTGTTCCGCTGGCGACACTTGAATCATTTACTGTAGTGTAGTGTGCAGTGTGTGTAGTGTGTAGTGTGTAGCTGCGGGGTCGGAGTAGATTTGGATGTGCCCGCGTTGGCTATAGGCCGCAGTCAGTCTTGGCTGGGTTAGATTGGGGGAGGAATGTCAAAGTTTCGGGTAAAAAAAAAAACGCTCCGACTCGGATTAGCCTTGCTCTGGGTTCCCCGCGTGGCCCTCATGCCGGACGGTTGGCATCCGAAGTGCGGCGGCTCCGGCGTTGCTCCCCACCGACAGGGGGTGGATACATGAGAGTGATCCCACGCTGGTCAGTCGTGTCCAGTGAAACTGTGGCCACAATAAGCTGCAGCGGCCTTCTGTCGTGGTGTGAAGTGAGCAGTCAGCTGATGATCAAGCGGTTCTATGATGACGTGGTAGTGAGGAATGGCCTAATCAGTGGTGTGGGGCTCTTAAAACACACGGTCTCTGTGGCCCGATTTGAAACAGCCGTCAGTCTTCGCCCATTGCCCACGAGGTCTGCGGTGATGCCTTCCCAGAGGCTGCAAGATTGCTGACACGCTATCCCTTGACCGCAATCTTGTCAGTGTCCATTTCGCTGCTACCGCCTGCGACCAAAACTCGCCGTGTAGCCGCCGCTGGCCAGGCTGTTGTAAGCTCTAGTTCCACGCCCTGCCAGGATCGCTGACAGCACCCGTTTTCTTCCTGCAAAGGCTGGTGACGGCTGTGTGTGGTCGCCGCCAGCCACTGACGCGCGGTGGCCGACCGCTGACCGCAGCATCCCCTGTCGGGCCTCATCACGTGTCGGCGCTCAGTGTGCGGTCTCGGGGATGACAGGGCTTCACCGCGCCCCTCCCTCCCCGGCCTCCTCGCCGCGGCTGGTGTACGGCCGCGCGCTGAGGACGTGGGCGGCGCTGGGTCCGGTAATAGGGCTTTTACTGCGCCCCTTCCTCCCCGGCCTCCTCGCCGCGGCTGGTGTATGGCCGCGTGGTGTGGGCGTGGGCGGCGCTGGGCCCGGTGATACGGGCTTCCACTGCACCCCTCCTTCCCCGGCCTCCTCGCCGCGGCTGGTGTACGGCCTCGCGGTGAGGACGTGGGCGGCACTGGGTCCGGTGATAGGGGCTCCACTGCGCCCCTCCCTCCCCGGCCTCCTCGCCGTGGCTGGTGTACGGCCGCGCGGTGAGGACGTGGGCGGCACTGGGTCCGGTGATAGGGCTTTTACTGCGCCCCTCCCTCCCCGGCCTCCTCGCCGTGGCTGGTGTACGGCCGCGCGGTGAGGACGTGGGCGGCGCTGGGCCCGGTGGTACGGGCTTCCACTGCACCCCTCCTTCCCCGGCCTCCTCGCCGCGGCTGGTGTACGGCCGCGCGGTGAGGACGTGGGCGGCGCTGGGTCCGGTGATAGGGGCCCTACTGCGCCCCTCCCTCCCCGGCCTGCTCGCCGTGGCTGGTGTACGGCCGCGCGGTGAGGACGTGGGCGGCGCTGGGTCCGGTGATAGGGGCTCCACTTTGCCCCTCCCTCCCCGGCCTGCTCGCCGTGGCTGGTGTACGGCCGCGCGGTGAGGACGTGGGCGGCACTGGGTCCGGACGCGGCGGACCGCGGACACCTCTCGCCTGTCCAGCTCCTCCAAGAGAGAGAGAGAGAGGGAGAGAGAGGTGGGCCGCGCGGCCTTGGCGTCCGGTATGTGCTGGTCGCCTCCCGGGGCCGCCCCAGTCTGCTGGGCCGGCCAGAGATGGCCACCAGATTGACGACACCGGCAGCCGCGGAGGAGGCGATGAGATGAGGGTGCCCTGCTGGCCCGGGACGGCGGGGAGATGATGCAGACTTGGCAAGGATGGATGTCGGGGCAGGCGTACGGGCTTTTCTCGTCTGGCGAGATGACTACAGAAAAAATGCAATGAGAGCTTGCATCATTAGTTTGCCGGCCGCTCGTGACAGGATGCAGATGACGCAAGAAGTATTTGTGTGGTGGGCGCGGGGGGCATCGATGCGTCTGCGAGAGCCGAGGTTACGCCGGATGTCATAGGAATGTGAAAGAACAAGCAGGTTCGTGGTGAATGATGAACAGATTAATGTCGCTCGCGTGACTGCACGCGTGACGGATGAGTGAACGATTGGTGGACGGGGAATACGCGCGGCGTGCGCGTGCGAGGACGAATGGGAAATAGGTGTTGCTCGTAGCTAGTGTCCTACGGCTCACCGCTATCCGCACCCAAGACGGGCTAATTAGCTGCGATATACGGGTCAAAAATCGGTTGTCTGTCTGCTCAGAACTCGCCGCAGCCTCGCTGTCGTAGTGTCCCGCGCAGTGTGTCCGCGCTCGTCGTGCTGCGTAGGTCCCTAATGGCGACGCGTCGCGGGGAACATAACCTCGTCTCGGCCAGCCGATAGCGGCCTTCGTTAGGCGCGCCGCGGCCCTCCTCCTTGCTGACGTGACCTCGTCGTCGGTCACGTGGCGTCGCCCCGCCGGCGCCGGCGGCGGGGGCGGGGGCGCTCGCCGAGTGGCTGTGTACACATGCTCTCCGCGTGAGGCACGCGCGCGCCTGGCGCTGCGTGTGGGGGGGGGGGGGGGGGGAGCTGGCTGACGCCGGTTGGGCGCACATGGCACCGATGACGCGCTACCCGAGCCCGGCGCGGCCCGAGACCAGGCTGACAGGCGGCCGCGCCCGTTGACATGCCGCGGAGGTGTCACCTGTGGCGGCGATGTATGCTGTCCGCTCGGACCGCGCCGCGTGTCCCTCACTAGCGCTGTCACCTGCTGGCGCGGCGAGGTCCGCAGATCTTTGGTCACAGTTATGTGGAGGAAGTGGCGACTGACGGAGATCTGAAGCAGCGGTCTTGAAATGCCGTAGTCTGTGCTTTATGTTTCTGTTTGCTTTTGTTATGTTCTGTGAAGCAAAACGGCAATGGGCAGCCGTGTTTATCTTTGTGCTTGATAAATGAGCCTGGATCGACACATGACAGCGGCGGCACACCTCCCGCGCAGGCAGAGAGGAGGCTAACAGATGACCACGCCTGTCGAAATGCCGCGGAGGCATTACCTGTGACGGGGCTGTAGCGAGCCTCAACGCCGTGTTTGAGAAATGAGCCTCGATCAAGGACGGCTTTCATGTGCGCACTGGAAAGTTGTATTTTGGAAAGCATGATGGCTTGTCAAATAGCGGGATGTCATGCAGCATCTTGTTACATACGCGTAGTGACGAGATGTGTTGGCCAGATATTTGCTTGCCAGAAGGCTGTGGCCGAGGTGAAGTACTTACGGGCGGTTCATAACTTACGTTACGCGTGGAAGGGAGGGAGGTTTGATGGAACGTGAACGAGTTGCAGCAAGGGGTCCCCAGCGAACTCTCCCGAGTCCGCTGGAGGAGGGGGGGGGGGGGCGGACAGTGTCGTGTCACGCTCTGATGTTGCGGCAAATCGTGATGGAATCGTTTAATGTTCCGTTGGATGCGTTGAATGTTATTTGAGCAAGACCAACTTTATGGAGGACTCCTTGTACAACCATGTGAAGCTTTATGCTATTCCCAACACTTGCTGTTGTGTCTTTGGCCTGCGTTGCTTTG